AACTGCAATGATGGTCAGGAATCCAGACTTCCTTCATTTCGCCCCTCCACTGTTTCTGGAGCGTAACTTTGGCCCTTGAGATCCAGGATGGCTGTTAGAGTGCCAGTCAGGCCCCTACTCCACGCAGCAAAACAAAGGAGTAAAAGCCATAGGGCACACCCCTCTCATTAAGGAGACTTCCTGGATGTCTTCTAAACCACTTATGCTGATATATCAGTATCCACAGCTTAGTCACATGATCCATCTAACCTCGGAGGGGTTTGGGAAATGTCAAAGTGCCCCACTAAAAAGCAGGGTTCTATTGCTAAGGACTACAGAGGAAATAAGTACTGAAAAGCAGCTAGCAATCTCTGTCACATTAGCTCTTTAAATACTTAAAAACAGCACTCAGGTCCCACTTAAGCTTCTTTTACAGACTAAACATCATTATTTGCTTTGACAAATCTTCATTGATACTGTTTTAGATCCCTCTCCTTTTTGAGTGTCTCATGAAAATGCTCTAATTTGTACTTCAAATATGACAACCTCCACCCCGCTCACCCATGAGATCTGATTGATGCAAAATCAATTGGAAATATTTTGGGCCCTTTGCATATTTTTATTAATCCATCCTAAAATTAGCTTTCTTGGCAACAACTGCACATGGTTACTAAATTTGGTGTCATCTGCATCCCCTGGGTCTTTTTTACATCTGTAGTTACTTAGCCTGGTCTCTCCCCATTTACACTCCGTCAGGCTTTTTACTTTCCTTTTTTCTCCCTCCTGAATATGCATAAATGTATTGCTATTTAATTTTACCTGGCTTGTTTTAGCTTATCTGAACATTTTGGGAACTTCCTGAATTCTAACTTTCTTACCCAATGTATTAAATGTCTCACATGTGGGCATTTGTACCTGTAGTGAACTGAATTTCTATTTAAGGACAGGAACAGAATCTTACTTTATATCCTCAGCATCAGGTAAAATGTCTAGCGCAGAATAAATTCTCAGTGTTTGCTTAATGAATGAAGACTACAGTTGAAAATAAAGAACATTTTCTAGATTTTTTTTAAAAAATTCTGGAGTTATTTGTGACAGGAAACTATGAAATCTCCCTATCTTTTAAAATAATGTGAAAGGAAAATAAACCTTGGGGCTCCAAAAGCACTAAGCTAAAGGGAAGAGTCAAGCTGGGAACTGCTTAGAGCAAACCTGCCTCCCATTCTATTCAGTCACCCCTCTGCTCACTGAGATGCATATCTGATTGCCTCCTTTGGAAGGGGTAATCAGAAACTCAAACGAATGCAACCTGCCAGGCGCGGTGGCTCAAGCCTGTAATCCCAGCGCTTTGGGAGGCTGAGGCGGGTGGATCACGAGGTCAAGAGATCGAGACCATCCTGGTCAACATGGTGAAACACCGTCTCTACTAAAAATACAAAACATTAGCTGGGCATGGTGGCGCGTGCCTGTAATCCCAGCTACTCAGGAGGCTGAGACAGGAGAATTGCCTGAACCCATGAGGCGGAGGTTGTGGTGAGCCGAGATTGCGCCGTTGCACTCCAGCCTGGGTAACGAGCAAAATTCCATCTCAAAAAAAAAAAAAAAAGAAAAAAAAAAAGGTAGAATTCACAACCTCTTTTCTGTCTAAATGTGATTTTAAAAATTTATTTATTTATTTATTTATTTATTTTAATTGAGACTGGGCTTCACCATTTTGGTCAGGCTGGTCTTGAACTCCTGACTTCATGATCCACCCACCTCAGCCTCCCAAAGTGCTGGGATTACAGGCATGAGCCACCACGCCCGACCCTTAAAAAGACTTTTAAGGAATTTATTCATTAAAATCAGTCTGTAGAAGGCTGGCTCAGGGGTTCATGCCTGTAATCCCAACACTTGGGGAGGCTGAGGATCACCGGAGGTTGGGAGTTTGAGACCTGCCTGACCAACATGGAGAAACCCCGACTCTACTAAAAATACAAAATTAGCCGGGCATGGTGTCACATGCCTGTAATCCCAGCTACTTGGGAGGTTGAGGCAGGAGAATCTCTTGAACCTGGGAGGTGGAGGTTGTGGTGAGCCAAGATCATGCCATTGTATGCCAGCTTGGGCAACAAGAGTGAAACTCCATCTCAAAAAAAAATCAGTCTGTAGAGATTTCTGGGATCCAAATTATGAGGTAATTTGAAGATTTGGGGATAAAATTAGATGTATCAACCACTAAAATGGAAACAAAGTGACACATTGATTTGTGGAAATAATCCTAAAAAATGAAATGTTTCAGAAACTTGCTGCTCATGAGATTAGGAGGCTACTAAAATACTTTCTTGGAGATTGGAAATAGTAATCGAAATGCAATGTGTAGAATAATCTATAAATGTGGCATTTAGACATTAATGGCAAAAACACAGTCATTAATGTTAATTATCATTAGTATTATGTTAATTATTGTTAGTAGTATTAAATATAGACATTAGAAATCACATCAGAGCTTCTCCAGAATTGACCAAGGAGATGACGACGTGAATCTGTACAGTGGTTTCTTATTTAGATAGGAATAATCCTATAGATAATAATACAAATAAATGGGTCCCCTGGAGAATCTTATTAGGATATAAAGAAGATTAATTGATTGACAGGGTCCTGCTGTATTGCTCAGGCTAGAGTACAGTGGCATGATGATGGTTTGATGCAGCCTCAAACTCCTAGGCTCAAGTGATTCTCCTGCCTCAGCTTACCCAGTAGCTGGGACTACAGGCATGCATTACCACGCTCTGCTAATTTAAAAATTTTTTGTAAAGATAGGTATTGCTATGTTGCCTAGGCTGGTCTCAAACTCCTGGACTCAGATGATCCTCCCACCTCTGCCTCCCAAAGTGTTGGGATTACAGGCATGAAAAAAAAGTAACTGTTGCCCTTTTTGGCATACCTCACACATACACATACACACACCACCACCTCCCCCACCACCCCTGCATATACGGCTCTCCTAGCTATACCTTGATCTTATTCCATTATTTTGTTTGTCAGAACAATGTCATTCCATTCAGCATAAACCAAATTTGTGGCTCTCGGGACTTGGCCTTCATGCAGTGCCCTTCACTCTCTTCTCTCAGTATTTACAGCTCTGATCTGGTCTGGGGTGGAAGAAGCAGGCAGATTGTCTTCTTCTCTCTCTCTTTTTTAAATGTGTTATTAGAGTTCTTTATTTTCTCATACATTTAAAATATAAGGTGTTTAAAAAATGAAAACCCAAGAGTAGGCAACAGGATCTTTACAAGTCACATCATAAGACTATATGGAGTAGTGACTTGGAGAATGGAGTTTTCATACTATTTTAGTTGTTCAAGCAATTCTTCCTATTATCTCCTTGGTCCATAACATACATACGGCTTGGGACAAAACTGACGTAACTGACACTTGAATTGTTCCTTAAATCGTAGCAGGAACTAACTTTGAGCTGAGTGTCCTGGCTTGCACCTGTAATCCCAGCTACTTGATCCCAGCCTGGCCAACACAGTGAAACCCGTTTGTACTAAAAACACAAAAATTAGCTGGGCATGGTGGCTGGCACCTATAATTCCAGCTACTTTGGAGGCTGAGGCAGGAGAATGGCCTGAACCCAGGAGGTGGAGGCCGCAGCGAGCCGAAATTGCACCACTGCACTCCAGCCTTAGCTACAGAGCCAGACTCTGTCTAAAAAAAAAAAAATCCCAGCTACTTGGAAGGGTGAGGCTGAAGGATTGCTTAAGCCTTGGAGGTTGAGGCTGCAGTGAGCTACAGTCACACCACTGCACCCCAGCCTGGGGATAAACCAAGAGTCATCTCAAAAAAAAAACCAAAACCAAAAACAAAAAAAAAGGCTGAGTGCAGTGGCTCATGCCTATAATCCCAGCACTTTGAGAGGCCAAGGCAGGTAGGTCAGACCAGCCTGGCCAACATGGCAAATCCCCTTCTCTACTACAAATATAAAAGTTAACTGGGCATGGTGGTGCACACCTGTAATCTCAGCTACTGGAGAGGCTAAGGCAGGAAATAATCACTTGAACTGGGGAGGTGGAGGTTGCAGTGAGCCCAGATTGCGTCACTGCACTCCATGCTGTGCGACAGAGTGAGACTCTGGCTCAAAACAACAAAACAAAAAAAAGTTGTGCCGCTGCACTTCAGCCTGGGCAATAGAGCAGACTAAAAACAAACAATGAAATAAATAATATATACATACACACTTGCAACTATCCCTAACTTCTTTTGGCCAACATCTAGACAATTAGATTGGATAGCCTTTGAGAGTAACACTGGACATTTGGGGAAATAATGAGCAAGAAGCCTGGAAAAAACCCTTTTGGTCATCCTCTGCATCATGCTTCAGAGTGAAGGGAAGTGCTCCCAGATCAGATACATTTAGGGCAGGGACAAGAATCTTGTGAAAAGAGCAATTAAGGATTATAATTCATAGATGCCTGCATAGCTGCTCTTAAGGTGAAAACATAGATCTATTTCAACTTATATATTGGCCTCCGATGAAAACTTTAAATGTTAACATTAATTATATTCATATAGTGAAATAACCTATTATATTTGTAGACTGGCTACAAAGCACAAAAGTGCCCTTAAAAAAAAAAAAAAAAACTGGCAGGCTGGGCGTGGTGGCTCAAGCCTGTAATCCCAGCACTTTGGGAGGCCAAGGCGGGTGGATCACGAGGTCAAGAGATCGAGACCATCCTGGTCAACAAGGTGAAACCCCGTCTCTACTAAAAATACAAAAAATTAGCTGGACATGGTGGCACATGCCTGTAATCCCAGCTACTCAGGAGGCTGAGACAGGAGAATTGCCTGAACCCAGGAGGCGGAGGTTGTGGTGAGCCGAGATTGCACCATTGCACTGCAGCCTGGGTAACAAGAGCAAAACTCCGTCTCAAAAAAAAAAAAAAAAAAAAAAGAATATCACTGTATTTATTTTCTAACAGGTAATTTTTCTACAGCTTCAACATTTCCTTTCCAATATTAAAAGAAAAAATCCAAAAGTTTAGAACTGGATCACTTGGCCCTTTCTCTTCTTATCTCCTCCCAGTTCAAAATGCTTGCATCTCTTAATGGCCAGCATCGTCTTGGATCTGCAGTTAGGCTCAACACATTCCAGCCGGAGCTCAATCTTCTCTGTGGTCTTAGCCTTCTTCCGGAAAATTGGCTTTGTCTGCCCACCATAGCCACTCTGCTTCCGATCATAGCGCCTCTTTCCCTGGGCATACAAGGAATCCCTGCCCTTCTTATACTGTGTCACTTTGTGAGGCTGATGCTTTCCACCCTTCTTACAGAAGGTTCTTCGGGTTTTAGGTACGTTGACCATCTTTGCAGAAGGGCTGGTCTGTCTATATGATGAAAACCAGAAATGGTGTCCGAGACACTAGCCTCGCGCAGCTCTTGCCTTGCAACAGGAAAGGGAAGATAAGCTGTTTTTAAGACAGCAGTCTTCTCAGCTAATTTATTCCTTCACCCCAACCAAAATGTAACAAAGACTTATGTTTATGCAGTATTTTTACTAATTGAAACACTAGGTGAAATCTGGGTAAAGTCAACTAAAGGAAAAATGGTTGTTTCATTCATTTGTACTTAAACCAGCCAAAGTAGTACTACTGTCATTATGATTCAGCAAATATAAGACCTCTTCCTATAAATATTAGCATACCAGCAATTCAGGGGATATAGTAAACCAGAGCCAAAAGAGTGAGGAAATCAAGTTGGCCAGGCTGATCTCAGGTGATCCACCTGCCTCGGCCTCCCAAAGTACTGGGATTACAGGCGTGAGCCACTGCACCTGGCTATACCTGTTTTTAAAAAATAAGCAAAGCCTCCTAATCCCCAAAAATAGGAACATACCTTCATCACAGCAATTTGTACTTTATTTCTTATTCTTGAGGTTAGATTTTAAACCCTAAAGATATCCAAACTAGTATTAGATCTACTTTTCTATAGCCAGAGACAGCTTCTATCACGGTGTCCTTAGCAGCCAAGGTTATTAAAATGTCTTTTCCCCAGGAAGACCCAATAGGAAAATATGATTAGGCTCCAACCATACCCCACACTCCATTCAAATTGACTGGATAAGCATAATGCATACAGAACACGTGGTTTCCAAACAAGAAAAATCCTATGACGGAGGGGAGGAGCGGAGAGGAAGGATTCAGCCAGTGCTCAGAGTGAAACTTTGTAATATCAGTTTCATTCATCTTCGCACGTCTTCAGGGTGCATGTTCATGGAGTAGTTTAGCAATAATTCCATGGCTTGTGGAATACTCAGACACCTAGTGGTCTACTGTATTACATTATGGTTTTCCCCAGCAGTTTCCAAGGCAGCCTCCAAGTCACTGGCAGAAGAATTTGACTGGAACTGCACACAGGACTGCAGAGATTCCTCTCCACAGTTATAGAAGGGACTGTTCCAGGCCAGAGTATTCCAGAAGTGGGTGCACCAGGTCTGAGTGTTCCAGGAGTGGGTGCACCAGGTCTGAGTGTTCCAGGAGTGGTTGCTCCCGAACTGGATGTTCTGGGTCTGGTTGCTCCAGGTTGAATTGCTCCAAGTCTGGTTGCTCCACATTGGAAGGTTCCCAGTCGTGTTCACCAGGCATCCCTGCTGGTCGGAAGAGTAGAGGCTGGGGTAGGTGGGTGCTGAGGCCTGAGGCACATCATTGGTATTTTTTGGCCAGTTGTTTTTCTGCCACCTCTTAGATTACATTCTCTGGTTCTAGAACCAGGTCTTCACCTGTTTGTAGCTGAGGTTCAGGATGCTGGAAAGTTCTTACATCTGCTGAAGGCTGAGGTATTTCTGTCTCTGAAATCTATCATTGAGTACACACAGCTGGGTGGAAGAGAGGGACCTTGTCTTCCTTAGTTGTGGCACTACTCTCTGCAGCAGCGGGTTGTTTGCCTTTGGGGCTGGTGGAAGAGTCAGGGCTGTCCTGAATAAGCAGATCCATGGAGGAAGGAAGAAGGGAGACAGTCTCTGTGTGAGGCGTCTCAGCAGAACACATTTGCAAGGATGGGTAATTTTCTTCAGGCTCACAAATCACAGGCATAGGTGAAGATTCTCCACAGTCGGATGCTTCAGAGCAAGCAGGCTTTGTGGATAAACTGGATCCATACTCATGTTTATTATTGGGGAAGAGGAGGAAAATATTTAAGACTTGGACTGGAAAAAAGGCTAAGGCAGCCATAAGACTTTTTTTCTGGAAAATTTTAGAGAAATATGACCTACAGAAGCGAAAGTATCAGGAAGTTGGGATGAAGTGAGTCACCTCGGCAGTAACTGGAGGCCGATTGTCTTATATACTTCACCGTTTATGACCAGGTTGTAGTCTTTATTCTGTTGGTTACTGCTGTTTCTCAGAGTAATGCTCATTGCATACAGCAGACCCTAACACATGCAGTATTTTTGTTTGTTATTGGAAGTCCCTCTAGAATCCTCCACCTGTCTGTGAGATGCCCCTTGGTATGAGAGATACAGCTCAACCTTTACTTCTTCCACTGTCATTTAGCCCATACAGGGGTGATGCACCTCATAGCTCTTACTACTGTGACCTCTCACCCAATGGACAGCCTTCTTTGATGGAGCATCAAAAACACTGTAAGTATCAGGTTCATAATAATGAGAATTATAAATTTAGACAGTTATTAGAAATTATGACTTCTCATTACTTGTGAGCTATGAATTGCATTTTGAAAACAAAGCTTTTCAGATATATGATATTTGAAGCCTTTGTGAAGGATCTAATACTTTATAGACTGAAGTGTAATCAGAGTGAGTGGGCTAGGAAAGTTTTATTTATTTATTTTTTGAGATGGAGTTTTTCTCTTGCTGCCCAGGCTGGAGTGCAATGGTGCGATCTCAGCTCACTGCAACCTCTACCTCCCTGGTTCAAGTGATTCTCCTGCCTCAGCCTCCTGAGTAGCTAGGATTACAGGCGTGTACCACCACACCGGCTAATTTTTGTATTTTAGTAGAGACAGGGTTTTTCCATGTTGGTCAGGCTGGTCTCGAACTCCTGACCTCAGGTAATCTACCTGCCTCGACCTCCCAAAGTGCTGGGATTGCAGGTGTGAGCCACTGTGACTGGCCTATTTATTTTTTTTAGACAAAGTCTTATGCTGTCGCCCAGGCTGGAGTGCAGTGGCATGATCTTGCCTCATTGCAGCCTCCACCTCCTGGGTTCAAGCAATTCTCCTGTCTCAGCCTCCCGAGTAGTTAGGACTACAGGTGCACACCACCACACCCGGTTGATTTTTTGCATTTTTAGTAGAGAAGGGGTTTTGCCATGTTGGCCAGGCTGGTGTCAAACTCCTGACTTCAGGTGATCTGCCTGCCTCAGCCTCCCAGAGTGCTAGGATTACAGGTGTGAGCCACCATGTCTAGCCAGAAAGTATGAAGTTGAATTAAGTTGTGGGGGAAAATCCTTACCTTTGCTTCTAATATATAATTTTATATAGTATTTCAGCTAGCAATACTGCAAGGAGATGGATTATAAATAGAATGAATGAAATACGTCTGTGTGAACACCAGGGATTAATATTATTTATAAGTACTATTGTATCAATAAGATCTTCGCGCTTAAGTTACGAGAGACGGAAACCTATCTTGAAATATACTAAGAGAGAGGAGAGAGATCCAAGATGGCTGATCACTAACAGCTCGGGATTGTAGCTCCCACTGAAAGCGCAAAGAATGAGAGGACGCCACACCTTCACATGAATTCTTGTTGCTCACGCATCAGGAGATTCCCAGCGGAGGAGCCCCACGGGTCGCCAGCGCGACTCCTGTGACCGGTGAGGCGGTTTTGCCGGCGCCTCGGAGCGACGGTTCTTGGTGCAGAGTCGGAAAAGCACCATCAATCTTAACGCCGCTGATTTAGTCGGCGCAGTGGGTTGCTCAGATTTCGGTGCTGAGAATCAATAAGTTGGACGTCCACTCAGAAACCTAATTACAAAGACAGTGACTTCAAAGACCACAGATGGATAAATTTATAACGAAGGGAGGAAAATGGCCAAAAAAGGCTGAGAATGCCCAAGATCAGAACGCCTCTCCCTCAGCGGGGGATCACAGTTCCTCATCAGCAACGGAACAAGGCCTGATGGAGAACGAGTGTGTTCCAATTACAGAAGCAGGCTTCAAAATGTGGATAATGAGAAACTTCTGTGAATTAAAAGAACTTGTTTTAACCCAATCTAAAGCAACTAAGAACTTTGAAAAAAGGTTTGACGAAATGTTAACAAGAATACACAATTTAGAGAGGAATATAAGTGAATTGATGGAGCTGAAAAACACAATAGGAGAACTTCATGAAGTATGCACAAGTTTTAACAGCCGAATTGATCAAGCAGAAGAAAGGATATCAGAGGTCGAAGACCAACTCAATGAAATAAAACAAGAAGACAAGATTAGAGAAAAAAGGATAAAAAGGAACAAGCAAAGTCTCCAAGAAATATGGGACTATGTGAAAAGACCTAATCTACACTTGATAGGTGTACCTGAATGTGACGAAGAGAATGAATCCAAGCTGGAAAATACGCTTCAGGACATTATTCAGGAAAATTTTCCCAACCTAGTAAGGCAGGATAATATTCAACTCCAGGTAATACAGAGAACACCACAGAGATATTCCTCAAGAAGAGCAACTCCAAGGCACATAATAGTCAGATTCACCAGGGTTGAAATGAAGGAGAAAATACTAAGGGCAGCCAGAGAGAAAGGTCAGGTTACCCACAAAGGGAAGCCTATCAGACTTACAGCAGATCTCTCAGCAGAAACCCTACAAGCCAGAAGAGAGTGGGGGCCAATATTCAACATCCTTAAAGAAAAGAACTTTCAACCCAGAATTTCACATCCAGCCAAACTAAGCTTCACAAGTGAAGGAAAAATAAAGTTTTTTGTGAATAAGCAAGCACTCAGAGATTTCATTACCACCAGACCTGCTTTACAAGAGCTTCTGAAAGAACCACTACACATATGAAAGGAACAAACAGTATCAGCCTTTCTAAAAAAATTATCAAAAAGAGCATCAATATAATGAAGAATTTACATCAACTAATGGACAAAATAGCCAGCTAATGGCAGTATTAAACTCACATATATTATTATTAATTCCAAATTTAAATTGACTAAATCCCCCAATCCAAAGACAGGCAATTTGAATAAAAAACTAAAACCATCAGTATGCTACATCCAGATCCATCTCACATTCAAGGATACACAAAGACTCCAAACAAGGGATGGAGAAAGATTTACCAACCAAACAGAGAGCTAAAATAAATAAATAAAAAGCAGAAGTTACAATTAAGCAACAAAGATCAAAAGAAGCAAAGAGAAGGACATTATATAATGATAAAAGGATC